TTTTTAATTTTTTTAATTGAAATGCACTACCAAAAAATAATGCTTAAAATGATATTTAAATTATTATTAAAAATTTTCATGGTTCTTAAATAATATTATGGGTTTATATAGGAATGTTAACTGTTTATTTTTCAATTATTTTGTGCATTATATTCCAAAAAAAAAGTGATCATGAAAATTCAATCAACAACCTTTTCAGATTAAAAGCATTAATATTACATAGAGATATTTTGAAGATAGATATGCAGTAGAGAATAGAGATTCCAAACCTTTTTGGTTGAAGGATTCATGGTTCATTTATAGTTCATGGGTCTCCGTATAGAAAAAAAGGACTAAAACGTGATATTTCTCAGATAATTTTAATAAGAAAAAATATCTTTAGCATATGTATTAATTTTAATGAAAATATGATGATCTATTAGAGAATTTTTACATGTTATCACTTATACAACATTAATATTGATGTAAATAAGGTGGGTCTTTAGAGGATTTTTATATACTATCTTTTACATAACATTAATGTTAATGAAAATATAGTCAGTTTTTTTTATACATTTATGAATTTAGAGAGAGTATGATCCAAAATATAGTTGTACTTATAAAATTGGACTTTTCCTCTTGGCTAAGTTTGAAGGAGATGGTTTTTAGTGGGTTTTTTGACCCATTAAATCTAGGTTAATCACTTGTTCACTAGTCTAATATATATTTACAAACTTTGGATCTACATTCTTAAAGCTTTATTTTTTATATTAGACTTTGTTTGGTTTATCATATGAGAAAAAAATGTTGATTATATAGATTAATTGTTAAAGAGTTTTTAGCATCTTTAAAATTTAAGCTATAATTTAACTTCTTTTAATTTGCTATATCATCATATATAGATTTAATTTTATTTCTATTTGCTTAAATCTATAACCTTTGGTTGCTATGACTCTTCTTTTCTTTTTATTTAATTTTAGAAAGTTTTTACATATATTTCATTTTAAAGTTATAATTTATCTTCTAAAATTATTTTTTTTATGCATTTTGGATGGTTTGATGCATGTTATATATCTTATTAATTTATATTTTTTTAATAAGTAAATCATTGATTTGTTTATTTAAGTTTATGTTATCTTGCTTATGCTCTATAAGATTGACATTAATGTTATCTGGTTGGTTTTGTTCACATATACATTATTGTTCATATATACAGAAAGTTGGAGCGGTAAATATATATAGTCTACGAAGTTCTATCTTAGGAGATTAAGTTTTAAATAGAATTGTTTTTTACCCTTACAATCTTTTCTAAAAACTTATTTAATAAAAATATTATTTAAATGATACTGTTTTTGTACATGGTACAATTTATAAGTGAAATAATGATAATTGAATAAATCATAATGAATAAAATAAGGCTTAACAAAAGTAACAATAGAAAGGAAATGAATGTTGATTTTATCTTGTATAGTTTAATTATTTTTATTTATTAATTTGCTTTATTATAAGTTTTTATTTTTTGCTTATTATGAAGTACCTCAAAACTTCTAGGGGAGATAATTTTAACTATTAATTATATATTTAACAAAGTACCTCATAAAAAGTTAGAAAAGCCATCATATGAATTATGGTAAGGTAGAAGATCTTTTTACAAATATCTCAAAGTATGGGAGTGTATTACAAAGATAGTAATACCTAATCCTATGAAGGTTAAAATAAGATTTATGATTGTGAATTATATATTTATCAGATATACATATAATAGTAGTGCATATTGATTTTTTATATACAAGTCAAGTATTAAGGATATTCATTCTAATACTATTATGAAATTAAAAAATGTTATATCCTTTGAGGATGTGTTTCCATGAAAGGAAGCACGAAAAAATCATTCACTTAAAAGAACAATTGAGGTTAGTTTAAGTAATTATTATCAATCAAAAGATGATGAAGTTGAGTTTAGAAAGAGTAAAAGGTCAAAAAAGACCGAAATATTTGGTCTTGATATTTTGACATACTTGTTAAAAAATGAAATTTAAACCTACTCTGAGACAATATCTTATCCAAAAGTTTTTTTTTTGTTAAAAAGAGGTATTCAATATTGAAATTGAATCCATTATGAATAATCATATATGAAAACTAATGGATATTTATCCCATGAGTAAATAATTAGACCATAAGTAGATCTTCAAAAAAAAGATGAAAACTAATGATACTATTGATACATATAAAGTTAGACTTGTTATTAAAGGTTTTAGACAACAAAAAGGTATGGAACGTGTTAATACATATTTATTTGTGTCAAGAATAACTTTTATATGAATATTAATAGTCATTGCAACTATTAATAACCTTTAAATACAACAAATAGATGTAATTTTTTTTTTAAATGATGACCTTAATGAGAAAGGTATACATAGAATAACCTAAGGGGTTTGTTGTTAATTGACAAAAAAAAAAGTTTGTAAACTTTTTAAATCATTATATGGTTTGAAACAAATACCTAAATAATAGCATGAAAAATTTAACAAGATTATATTGTCAAATGAGTTAATCAAAAAAGTTGATAAATGTATTTATTTAAGGAAAAAAATATATAAAGGTTATGTCATTTTTTGTATTGGTATTATCTCAATATTATTATGTTTAGAAAATTCTCAATAAATTTTCTAAAGTTGACAATAACACTATCAAAACATCAATTGATATTAGTGTATATATGTTCAAGAGTAGAGATAAGAAAATAAATCAATTAGAATGTTCTTGAATAACTGAAAGCCTAATGTATATTATGAACTGCATAAGGCATGATATTGCTTATTTGGTTAGTAAATAAATTAGATATACAAGTATTTTAAGTATAGATCATTAAAAGATAAAAAAAAAAGTATTCAAGTATTTGAGGTACACCTTATATCATGAGTTATATTATACTAGTTACACAATAGTACTAGCAGGGTATAATGATGCTAATTGGGTATCTAACACCAAGAATTCAAAATCCACGAGTATATATACTTCACACTTAGTGGAGTAGCTGTGTTATGGAAATCCTCCAAACAAACATGTATCGCTAGATTCACAATGAAACCAGAGTTTATTACTCTTGATAAAGCTAAAAAGAAAGTTGAATTAATTCAAAACTTCTTAGAGGATATTCCATATTAGCAAAAAAGTAATGTTAGCTTTTTGTGTCTATTGTGATAGTCAGTAACTTGAAGGTTATAAATTAGTATGTATAATAGAAAGTCTAGACATATATGTCACAGATATAATAATATTAAACCCTTACTCTCAAATGTAATTATTTTTATTGACTATGTAAAGTCAAATGAAAATATTGTGGATCCGTTAATCAAAAACTTGTTGAGAGAGTTTGTGTATAATTCATTGAATGGAATAAGTTTAAAACTTTTAATAGATGAAAAAGTGTAATGAAAGTAATCATACATAGTTGATTGGAGATCCTAAGATCTAGACTCAAATAAAAAACTAAGTTATATAACATTCTTGGTAACACTAGATAATTATTATCTTATACTTATTTATATGATAAAATAAATATTAGATGTAGTATGATAAAGAATTATCTGAGCTCTTAATAACTCTCATATCTTAATACACTAAGTGAAGTATAACAGAATATTTTTAATGAAATATCACCTATATAAGTGCTAAATGTAGTTGTTTCTTTAAGAATCCTGATAAAGACTAATTTTTCTAAAGCACTTATGAATCCAAAAGTTATTTAGGATAAAAATAAACATAACAATAAGAAAAAAAATATTTAGATAAAGAACTATATGAATATTATTGTCTTGGTTTATACAAAAGGCTAAATAGTTCAAAACATCATGTTTACTATTTAGTCGAGTAAATCCGATAATATTTCACTAAGAAAGGTTCAAAGCCAAAACTACCTATTCTAATGTAATAACTACCAAATTAGTATCTCTCTATAAATCTTTGAGTCATTTTCAAACTGGTAAGAAGATTTTCATTCATGTAAGAAAGTGTTGAAAATTTATTTTAATTAGCTTGATATAAAAAAATTATTGGTGAATGAGAAATTAATCTCACATAACCGTATTTTTTCTACTAAAAAAGAACCCTTATTTTTTTCTAGATTTAATTCTTGATTTATAGTGATTAATCAAAGTTTGATAATGGTGAGCATTAATTCTTAGTAATTCTTCAATCTTTTAATCTTTAAAATCTACTATAAAAATGAAGGTGAAAAAATAGTTTTTAGCCTGAATTTTTTAGATTCTTACACACTCTCCTCGTCTCATTGTTAGTGTTTTTTTTTTTATATATACTTTGATTTTTCTCCCAAATATAAAGCTTAGGTTCATCCTATTGAAAGATCATTTGAGGTTCATATTTTTTTGTTTAAATATCTTGTTTAAAAGTGCTTCTAAACTAAGGTGTGGTTGTTGAAATTATAAGAGGTATATTGTAAATATCCTAGTTATATATGTAAGAAGCAATAAATATTTTTTTTTTAAAAAAATCCTTGACAACCATAAAAGATTTATTATTTTAAACAACTTTAATAAGTAATAATACTCTTTTATTTTGATTTGATTATAATTAATTTTATTATTAGTATATATGCTATACTAAGACTTTAATTTTATTAATTTTATATCAATTGTAAATTTAAATATATACTTAGTATTATTTTTTTAGTTATATTTATGTTGAAAACATATTTATTAAATATTATTAGTTTATATCCTTATAGGTTTAAATTTCTCTACACGTTAGGGTTTTATTAAAAATATTTTTATATTTAACATTCTTGATCAACTAAATTTAGTTACATCCCAATCTAATAATATAATATATATTTAGATCTTTAATAATAACAAAGTCTTATCTTTTGAAATCCGTGACCATAACGTTTTAAAAAACTGACAGCAACTGTTGACTTGAGAAAATGGCAAGGAAGACCCTTGGCCGGCTCATGCAATGGTCCCCCCTTCAAGGCTTCTTCAGTGCTTTTTAAATAAGCGATTTTGAAGTCATTGGTCACATAGAGTGACTCTGAAAATAATACTAATGGAGAGTTTCTCATCTCTTCAAATTCTGATAATACTGTTGGTTGGAAGCCTGTGTGTGGACTTGGGTCGTCTTGATGTAGCAGCTCACAGCAAGAATGGAATGGGAGTTCAACCACTGTCTAAGATTGCTATTCACAAGGCTGTTTACTCTCTTCATGACAATGCTTCTATCACAGCATACCCGTATGTTCTTGGTGCCAAGGTAATATTTAGTTCTTGCCAACATGTCGCCTGATGAACTTTGTGTTACATTGTCCCTTGAAGCCTTTGACTATTGAATAGCATATATCTTGGCTCTTTTTTTTTTTTTTATTATTGTTGTTCATTGCGTATGTGTGCACAAGTGTTAAATGGAATTCTAATGCAAATTGACGAAGTATTCTGAATTTGGAGTCCTGTGATTACAGTTCTTGGAACTGGTTTTATTACGAGTCCCTTCTCCATCATTTCATTGAAAAGCTTTCGTGTCTTTTTGAGGAGCTGTAGAAACACCTTCCAAAAATTGGAATAGAACACGTGAGAAATGGAGTTTTAACTGAGTGTATAATAATCCATGGCATCAGAAACTACAAAGATCATAAACACTCAGCTATTCATATTACCGGAATTTATTGAGCTACACACAATGGTACCATCCCATAGCAGTTTGATGCTAACCATTCAAGGCACTGCAAAGTTAAGATAGCTGCTATATAAACAATGGCATGTTTCCTAACGCTACCATTTGAAATAGCAATATCTGGTTTTTATTCATGTGCAGGGGGAGAGTTCCCAGTGGATAACTGTGGAAATTGAATGCCCCAACCCTACTGAGGATGACTGGGTTGCAGTATTTTCTCCGGCAAAATTCAAGTATAATCACTTTCCACCCCTTAATTGCTTTGTTTTCCATGTTTAGAATGAATGAATATTGGACAAGCATCTACATAGACTCTGCTCAGACTGAATAAAACCCTGAGCAGAAATTCCCAATTTCTTGTAGATTGCTTGTCTTTTGCATCAATTTACTTGTAAACGTGGGAAAAAAAGATTGTCTTTTACATCATTACTAGTATACACGGGGGAAAAGTTCATCTTGTTCTGCAGAAATCTTCTTAACTATTATCTCACAAATCACAATCCCGTCATCGTCAAGAACTGCCTAGTGCTGGAACTTATTCCCTAATTTTCTCTCTTATAGAGTAATGAAATTCATTCTACTTTGCTAGCTCATCAACATGTCCATCTGATGACGCCAAACAAGACGAACCATATATATGTTCAGCTCCAATAAAGGTCTGCCTTAGTTCAATGCAACATGACTGATGTTCTGTAAATGTGTAACCTTTTGAACTTGCTTTGAGCAATCTCATGATCAGTGATTCTCTTTCTCAGTACAAATTCGCCAATGATTCCGATGCTGGATACACAAAGACAGGCAAAGCATCTTTGAAATTTCAATTGATCAATCAGCGGGCAGATTTCTCATTTGCTTTATTCTCAGGCGGGTTGTCAAATGTGCGACCAAGTCTGTTTTCGTAGTCTATTGCTTATATATGTGAACATAAAATGCAATGTTTCAGGCTTGAATTTTAGTATCAAATTTCTGACTTGGTTCTACATTATTCTTGTGCCACTACTTCAATCTTGTTGCTCAATCCTTTAGATTGCCGATGATTTTATGAATTGCAGCCAAAGCTGGTGGCAGTTTCTAACTTCATAAAGTTTGCAAATCCAAAGGTGCCCCTTTATCCAAGACTCTCTCAAGGGAAGTCTTGGGATGAAGTAAGTTTACTGCATTCAAATTCCATGCATACTTCTTTTAACCAGCTTTTTCAACAATCAAAGGCTTATTTACAAGCTCAAGCTACTGAGAATAATGAGAGAGAACTTTTGGGGACATCGCTATATATTGATCATACCGATTGAAATATTTTAATTTTAGTTTGTAAACTGAAGTCGCAAAGATGTAACATTTCTCAGGGATGAATCAGAGACAGATAAGGTTGCGCTATTAATAATCATCCATGGAGTCTGAAAATTCAATCCATCGATTAGTTTTTAGCCTTTCCTGGGTGCTGGATTTTTTACTCACTTCTTATCAGCTTTGAGAATTCATTTTAAGATAGCATTGTTTATTGCATCATGCAGATGACAGTTACCTGGACAAGTGGTTACGGCATTACAGAAGCTATGCCTATGGTTGAGTGGGGTCTCAAGGGAGAATCTCAAACTCGATCACCTGCTGGGACGTTGACATTTCATCAAAATAGCATGTGTGGTATGAGCCATATCTTCTTGGAATAATGACAATGGTATTTGCAATTATCTTAAGAGTCCATGTTAGAAATATTTTTTGTATTCCTTTTCTTGCCCAATTAACCTCTTTCAAATGAATCAACTCGTGAAAAATAACTAAAAACTTCGTTTCTGCATTGTTTTCAAAATCTTGTCATGCTCTATGTTCATTCAGTAGCAAATGTTGAAGTTCAGGAAGTATCTCGACTTTCTTCTGTAACAAGGCGACAGGAAGCCTTGTTTAGAGGAAGAATTATGATTCTGCTATTTGCATTGGACCTCTTTCCGGGATAACTTTTTCCAGGAAATTAGCAGGATAGAAACTACAGTGGTAAATACTTGTTATATTGCTGCAGGTATACCAGCTCGAACAGTTGGTTGGCGTGATCCCGGTTTTATCCATACGAGTTTCTTAAGAGATTTGTGGCCAAACTCCATGTATGCATCTTAAGTTCTAAGAATCATATTATAACAATGACAAGGAGCATAGATGGGAATTATTCTGATGGTTTCAGTGATGATTATTTATTCAGGTACTCGTACAAGCTAGGTCATAAGTTAGTTAATGGTTCGTATATATGGAGCAAGTCTTATTCTTTCAAGTCATCACCATATCCAGGGCAAGAATCATTACAGCGTGTTGTGATATTCGGCGACCTGGGAAAGGTACTATGAAATAGTATAGTGCGGATAATAATAGCCTTCTGGTTAAAAGCTTTAGTTTACATGATATATATATATATATATATATATATATATATAATTTTCCTCTACACCATTTGTACTTTCGCTTGGATCAAGGAACCTTTGATCACTGAATACTTACAATAACATACATCGAAGAAGGTTCTCCATTATACTACGTATCTAATATTCATGTAATTGATGGAATTTATAAATTTTAGTTACCAGCTATCAAAGTTGACAGAACAAACTCCAAGAGCTAAAAACTGTTCTGTAATTAGGTGGTACACACACACACACTGTTAGGTATACAGATTTGAAGAAATTAGGTTGTTTGTAGCTCATGCAATTAAAGATATCCACCATTTCTTTCTTTATGTTTCAGGCAGAGCGTGACGGTTCAAATGAATTTAATAATTACCAGCCAGGCTCCCTTAACACCACAGATCAGCTAATCAAGGACTTAAATGCCATTGACATGGTTTTTCATATAGGAGATATCACATATGCAAATGGATACATCTCACAGTGGGACCAGTTTACGTCACAAGTAGAGCCCATTGCATCGACTGTTCCATATATGATTGCGAGGTTTGAATGGACGCTATGCTTGCTTCTTGCAATTCATGTATGATTATGCTAATAGGTACAAGTTTCTGCTACTTTAACATTGTTCTTTCTCCAACAGTGGCAACCATGAGCGAGACTCGCCGGGGACAGGATCCTTCTATGATGGTAATGATTCAGGTGGTGAATGTGGTGTTCTAGCAGAGACCATGTTTTACGTTCCCGCTGAGAACAGAGCTAAGTTCTGGTAAGTAAATCAGTTATAAGAAGTATTCAAACATCGTGAGAGAGTTATTATGAGAAGACTTGAATATAAACACCTGTAGTGTATAAAGAAGGCCAATTCACTTTCCGAAGTTATAAAGATTTTACGAATTCGACGTGTTCTGTATATTCCTGAAGGACTCAAGAAAAAAGAAATCTACATATTTCAGAGAATGGCATGAGCTACTTTTATCAATACTTCGGTGTAGATAAATATACAAGCCTGTGATTATGTCTAGATTTAGCTTGGAAAATATCCGAATCCTTGCCTGGCCAGTTCTGCATTCAATATATTTATCCATCAAGATGAGCACTGCTTTCTGCAGGTATTCAACAGATTATGGCATGTTCCATTTTTGCATAGCTGACAGTGAACATGACTGGAGGGAAGGATCTGAACAATACAAATTCATCGAGAAATGCCTTGCATCAGCAGACAGGAAAAAACAGCCTTGGTTGATATTCGCTGCTCATCGTGTTCTTGGTTATTCCTCCTCCTACTGGCAGAGTGGTTCATATGGAGAGCCAATGGGAAGGGAGAGCCTGCAGAAGCTTTGGCAAAAGTATAAAGTAGACGTTGCATTTTTTGGACATGTCCATAACTATGAAAGAACGTGCCCAATTTACCAGGTATGCTTGTGTCTGATTTCATAGCGTAATCGCACCATTTTCTTGGCTTTCATGACTTTTTGTGCAAGTCCTGATTCTCATTCAACCCTTTCTCCCAAACCAAGTCCATGTAATTGCTTGCCAAGTCTGATCATGTAATGTTTATTATGGCAATGCAGAATCAGTGTGTGAATACAGAAAGATCCCATTATTCAGGCACTGTCAATGGAACAATCCATGTTGTTGTTGGTGGGGGAGGGAGCCATTTAGCAGAATTTGGTCCAGTGCAGACCACTTGGAGTATTTACAAAGATTCAGACTTTGGATTTGTCAAACTTACAGCATTTAATCACTCATCTCTTCTCTTTGAATACAAGAAGAGCAGTGATGGAAAGGTCTATGATTCATTCACCATATCAAGGGACTACAGGGATGTGTTGGCCTGTGTGCACGATGGCTGTGAACCAATTACTTTGGCTCCATGAACCTGACTTGCCCTTTTATTTTCGTTTAAACTATGTGTGCTTTTCTTTATATATATATATATATATATATATATATATATATATATATATATAAAACTTATCTCCATCATTAATGCGATTATGACAAGATCACAAATGGGTGTTTGTGGAATAACTATGATTTTTGTTAGTATCTGGCTGTTGCATATATCTACTTGAAGGATTCTACACAAAAATCCTTTCAAGATTAGGACTTCCTACTTTAGAAATCCTTCTCCTATCTCAACTGATCTTAAACTGCCACTATGCAGATTACTGTAACCAATTTGACAGCATCACTATAAAATCATTTACACAACAGTCCAAATTTTATTTTATAATTCATAGTTGTGCAGTCTGCAAACCGCAATAATTTATTCTTTCTTGAGAATAATTAATGCATTATTCTCCTGAATTCTTGATCATTCACTTTCAGGTGAATTTTGCCTGTGAGAGGAACTTCAGAAACTTTGCCAAAGGATATTTGTCCTAAAGAACAGTCGAATTTGAAGATGGATGATTGCTCTGCCTGTTGTATCCATATTTTCTCATTGACAAACGATAACAAAAAAATAAAAAAATTTACCTCATCACTAAACTCGGTGAACTCGAATCTTTATATTGCTTCGTGAACCATTGGATCTAACCCATAGTTTTGATAGTTTTATTATTTTCAGATTTAATGATTTATTTTGAATTTCATGTTTATTTTCTTTGTATTTTTAGATTTTTACCTTGTTTTCTAGCTGAAGTAGAGTTTTTAAACTATTTAAGATTTTATAAACCTCCTGGAAAAACAGAATTTATTATCATTACTTTCAGAGAAAGAATAAACCAGTGAGTTTGGGTTTACATCTGCAGTCAATTTTACTTATAAAATTTATGTATTTTTTGTTTGTTATTATCTTTAGTTTTCATGAGCGTCGCTTTTCTGTGTGATTAACCTTTTATTATCCCTTTTTCAATCCCAATGCATTGTGAGCTAAATAGCTGCCATTTTTCAAGTATCAGGTAACCGAGACGAATCAGGTTGATGTTCCACATGCTAGATTTCAACGTACAGATCAATGGCTGCCGGTTTACTCCTGGTTGGAATCTTTGGATAACGACGAGGTAGTCAAGTCCAAAGATACTTCTGAATGGGAATCCAGAGATTGATATCATTTGATGCCCTGCGTTAAAAAGTAAAGATTCTGAAGAGGAGGGAAAGGAAGAAGGTAACAACTGCTCATCATCTCAGCTCTTTTTGTTTGATATTATCAGATTTCATTTTTATCATTATTTTTTTGATAAATTTTTTTAATTAATTTTATTTTAATTTTATTTTTCAACATTAAATTAAACTTTTTAATTAAATACAAATTTAAATCTTCACGAGTTATGAATTTAAAAAATTAATTAAGTTTTGAAAATTTATCGTGATTTAATTTCAAAAAAAATTATATTTTTTTAGTTTTAGTTTCATCATTTATTTAATTGAAAATTAACTCTATTATTATTTTTATATACTTTCTATACTAATTTGAAAAATAACTCATTATTTCAAGTTTTATTTGTTGTTTTTTCTTTATTAAAATTAGCTTCGTTTGTTTTTTTTTAATCTGTGCAAGCAGCCTCTTTCACAATAGCATTATAAGTCACAATAGGATCTTTCTAGTGGGGTGTTATCCATGGTACAGCAATGACAAGACTCTAGCGGGAGTTTTTTTTTTTTTGTTCCTGAGTATAATATTGAGTTTTTTTTATAATTAATTATTACCATTTTTTTTCTTTATTTACTATGAAAACCTTTTTTTAATTATATTATTAAATTAATTAAATTTACTAAATCTATTCTAGGTATCAACTTTTTCTTACTTATTTGAAAATACGTCTCTTGAACATTTTATATATATATATAGAAAATTGTGACCTGGCTACGCGTGACGCCTACTTAGCTCCCACTATTTACTGATTGTATTTTTCTAATATCGTTCGACCTTTTTATGGTAATATAGCAAAGCTATGACTTTGCTTGAACAGGGTGTGCAGCCGATTGACGATCCTGCTTCTCTAAAATTTTCGAAGAATGTGGAGGAGAAAGAGCCGGCATCAGTTCCAACTACGACCTCTTCACAGCTTTTGTTCTTGGTTAGATTCGATCTCCTATAATTGACAAGCGTGGTAGATTCTAACACATTCCCTAAATTTTAAATCATGTTCTTCAACTAAATCTTTGACAACATTGTTCCATTCAAATGAAACAGAACGACATTGGCATTACCAATCAGCCGTCCTTCAGATCGATTGGTAGTGACATACTCCATCCGCAGCCAGTAAAAAGTCGAATCTGACAGGAAAAAAAAATATACTACAAACAATCCCCATGATTGAAACACCAGTCACCGCAACTACAGAAAATTTAGTTTATAATATAGTTGAATGCAAGTGACCTCAATTTCTGCAATCGACCTCAACTGGTTTTCATCTGGATTGGTTTAAATCTCGACCAGTTTGCATCTGGATTCCAATCCATCTAAATATGTAGCAATATATAGCTTACAATAATTGGGGTGAAGGAGTGACAAAGTGGAGAAACTATTGTGACAACCAATTCTTTTAGCATGATCATTTTTAAAAGGAAAGGCAGGGAGAGACAGAATGCTTCAGAAAATTCCAGGACATTTACATAGAGTTTGCAGTTGAAAGATGACTAATTATGGTGGCAAAGAAAGCTTCAGACTGCAAATTTATTTAGAATATAGAAGGAAACAGAAAATCTATAATGGTGACATGGTTGGGCTCTCACCTATACATTGACCCCTAAGCAAGTTGCTGGCATGAACAGAAAAGGCCTCGGTACTTTGAGGGATCAGTGGGACCCTTGACCAATTAAGAAACTGGAGTACTAGAAAGCCAACTAAATATCAATAAAAGGGATGGTTCCAAAAATGAAAATCAATTAAAGGGAGAAAATGACAATAAATTTAACGACCAAAAGTGGAGAGTTTCCATCCTCATCTAGACTTGTGTCAATCAAAGAGACATGCATGCAAGAGAAAGATCCAGAAGGGACTCGCGTTGCAAGTGGCATCAATTTAAACAAAAAAGGATAAAAAAATTGAGGGATGCATGAAACTCCTTGCAAGTTCCATTAACATCTATCATAACAACAGTTATTAGTACGAAATGATGACATTGAATGCATTGTCATTGACTTTATCCCTAAGTTTTCGACTGTTGCAAGCAGCAAAGACGTGCAACACATTGCTCATGCAAAAAAAGAAAAATTACTGTTGAATTTGACTCCACGGAGGTCGCCCATCCAAGAAGTGCATTTGCGCACATGCAAGCACTCATAACTGGCAGTCCTATTACAATTCAGACCTTGAAAGAACAGAAACTGAATCTGAAAGAGCAGTACTACAAACTAGAACTAACCATAGATCTCAGAAAATTTGTGTTTTGAGTATTGTTTGTCTGGTTTAAGCATGTTCATTCTAAACAATGGACAGAAGAAAATAAGACAGTATAGAAAGGAAAGGAGCTTGGTTTCTTTGCTCTGACTTTGGAAGAAATAAATGGAGGCAAAAATGAGGCCTCCCTTCTGGACATCAAGAAAACCATTCTCTGCAAAGTGAAGGGATTGATAAGGAAAAATAGATAAAACTAAAGCCGAGCACACCTGATAAGGTTTATTGGAAGTAAAAGAAATGATGCATTTCTCTTCATGTCTACCTTTATATCATCCAAACAAATGGGAAAATAATTTTCGTTTCTTTCAACAAATTTGTTCTTTCCTTTTGTCCATACACACCCTTGACAGTTTGGACAACAATACCTTTACCACAATGACTGCAATTCACTCAAAATACAACTTTCAAAGTTCCAAAATTGTCTGAAATAGTGTGAAAGACAATCCTAGAAAGTACCAAACACTTTCAACTATATATGGCAGAACAAAACTCTATCAACCCTTCGGTACACTTTTCAATGCAGCTGCCAGCCCTTCTTTAAACTTAATTCTACAACGATCAATAGTATTACTGTTTTGAATTACACAATACACATTCACGCGCGGACACACAACCACCCTAAAACATCACCTAATTTTTCATTCACAGCTATAAACATGAAGTTGAAAAGGTGTAGGTTGGCATATCACAGTTCAAGCAAATAAAATTGCATAAAAAAAGAACAAAAGTGCATGGCAACCTTCTGAAAGCCAAAAGACTTTATCATTGTAGACCAATGTTATAGTCTTATGGCTAAACTAGAGATAAAAACAGTCACAGTATGTAATTAACAAGTTTTCCCCATCAGAATCAACTAGCAATCAAAAGAAGAAGCTCACATTAGTAGCAATTATTATACTGTGGATCATCTGAACAGAAATGCCATTTCAAACAAATCACAACGCAGGAGCAGGTTTCAGAAAATAAATCCAATAAGCTAAACTGCAACGAGTAATAAGTGATTTAATCCTTGAAAATAACTCTATTAAGAACAAGAGTGTGCTAGCAAGTCTTGGCTATGATAGTAAATGCAAATAAACTAACAAGAATTACAAAATCAAAAGTTTACCATGGGGAAAAAAAAAAAACATACTTCCAGTGTACCACCTCCTTGGCACCTATGGTAAGATAATACGATTTGCTTCCTCAAATGCCATCCAAAATGTACATTGGATGAGCCAGGATGGAGATCATGCTTGGTAAAATAGCATTGAAAGTCAACTCCAAATAACAGAGAACCATTATTGTGGACATACAATCAAAGGAAAAATACCTCTCAAGCAGCAACCGCAACCTTTTCTTGCTGCTTAACAGCTGCCAATTTTTGCTTTGGATCAACTTTTGGTTGTGGTTTCTCAATTCCTTGGATATCAGCTATTCTCAACCTAGTCAATTCCTGAAAAACAGAAAAACATGGGTGGACAAAAATGAACACCACATAATTGGAGAGAGAATGCTAGAACCATTCAGGAAAAAAATCTTTTTATACCTGGCGATGTCCTTTCGTTCGACGGTAATTCTTCCTTCTCTTTTTCTT